TTAAGTGATTTCTAAGTGTAGCTCACAGTATCTGAACAGTGGTAAGGACTAAAGACAGCCAGAACTTCAAGACATATTAAGAACAAGAAGAGGCAGGAGGTGAAGCAGAGGAAGATGTCCAAATGAGGCCCACTGTTTTGTCTTGGGCATTGAGGCAGATAGTGGACATAGAAGGAGAGCAGTTTGGGATGGGGAGATGATGGGATTTGTTTGGGGAATGTTGAGGCTGAAGAGCCTGGGAAATATTCAAGTAGAAATGTCCAACCAGCAGCTCTATATAGGAATGTGAGCTCTGGAGAGCAGTTGGGACAAGATTTGAGAACTGGAATTCTCAACAAGAAGTTGAATCCATGGCTCTCATGGAACTAGATGGAGTGGGGTAAGAGAAGAGGACTGGGGAGGGGTATGGGACAGGAACCCAGGGAAAGCCCAGATTTAAGGGGTGGCCAGGGGAAGAGGGGATCATGGGGGAGATTAAGAAGTGGGAGTTCAAGAGCAAGTAGGAAAATCAAGAAAGAATGGTGTCATGAGCCAGGGGATGAGGGTGGATCATTTAAGGTCAGGAGTTCGGGACCAGCCTGGAAACATGGTGAAACCCCATCTCTACTAAAAATAAAAAATTAGCCAGGCGTGGTGACATGCACCTATAATCCCAGCTACTTGGGAGGCTGAGGCAGGAGAACCACTTAAACCAGGGAGGCAGAGGTTGCAGTGAGCTGAGATAGCACCATTGCACTCCAGCCTGGGCAACAGAGTGAGACTCTGTCTCAAAAAAAAAAAATAAAATGAAATGTAAAATGCTGTATAGAAGGACTGTGGTAAAAGGATTAAGAGACGTTATCCATTAAATCTAGCAACACAGAAACTTTGGTGACTGTATCAGTAAGAGTCCAATTAGCAAATAGAAATCACACTAGTTATTTCAACAGAAAAAGTTTAATATAAGGAATTGGGTAAACCAAGTGTTGCAAAACTGAAAAGCAAAAGGGAAAATTGAGAAGCCACAGAAGTTATAACTGCAAGAGGCAACTACCTCCCCAGGGTCAGGAAAACAAAGAGAAGCAGTTGGAGTCACCAAAATCCAGATCCTTGAAGGAGATGCACCCACAGAGCTGGGCTCTAGCCTCTGAAGAAGGGACACTGCCCAAGTTGTGCTGATCCCCTGTGGAGCTCAGAGAAGGGACCTCATGGAGCTGAGACTCAGAGGAGGGAGGCTGCTCAGCTGGAGCTGGAGCCTCGGGAAGCGTGGACAATGAGCCCAGCAGAGCAGGAGCTGGGACCTCTGACAAAGAGGGCATGAGAGTGGTTCTGGGGGTGCTGGTAAAAGCAGGAGGATGACCCTGGAGCTTTCAACAAGGAAATGACATGGGAGGGTGTACATTCTGGAAAACAACAACAACGTGAACCACAAGCAAACGGGACGAGCACCTCTTCCCACCTCCTCCTGCATCTTCCATGCTCTAAACACTGTGCTAGATGCTGAAGATAAAAATGCACCGGGCCAGGGATGGTGGCTCATGCCTGTAATCCCAGCACTTTGGGAGGCCTAGGCAGGCAGAACATCCTGGCCAACATGGTAAAACTCCATCTCTACTAAAAATATTTTTAAAAGTAGTGGGGCATGGTGGCGTGTGCCTGTAATCTCAGCTACTCAAGAGGCTAAGGCAGGAGAATTCACTTGAACTCAGGAGGTGGAGGTGGTAGTGAGCCAAGATTGCACCACTGCACTCCAGCCTGACAGTAGAGCCAGACTCCATCTCAAAAAAAAAAAAAAGAACCAGTAAACGCCCTGCTGCCCTTAAAGTATTCACAACCACTGGCTTTATAATGGGCACAGTGACCCTTGCCAGTCTAGTTTTAACGGTTTAGAGGGAAGCCATCTAGCAATGGGTTGAGAAGCTGAAATGGACACAGAAAATAGGGACCCACTTTTTCAAAAAATTTTCCATGAAGGAAAGAAGAGAACAAAGTAGGAGGAGGATATAGATGCAGTGCTGGGAAGGCATTTGTTTTCTTGTTAATTTAAGAAGCGAGACTCTACAGCAAGTATTGACCGGAGCCCACAGAGAGGTGAGAACTACACACTGAGGAGTGAAAGTGTCTGAAGGAGATGGAATGGTGGAAGCCAGTGCTTCCGGAAGGGTTAAGCACTTTGTAACTACAATTCTCATTATCTGAACTATGGTAAGGGCTGGAGGCAGAGCCAGAGCTTCAAGAAGGAATTGGCTGACACAAAAGCAAGAATATGGATTCTTCTGAGAGGTAAAGAAGGACGTTTCACAAAAGCACCCACTTTGTAGGTGGCGATGTGTTGACGCCCTGGGTCTAATACAAATTGATCCCAATAGAAAGTTCCTCTCATCTCCAGCCTAGGAAATCTTGGAGTCTTCACTCAGATCTTCACTCAGGCCTTCCCTGACCATCCTCTCAAAAATTGTCACCCGCTTTCTCCAGCACACTTGGACTCTCCCTTTCTGCTTGTTCTCCTTGGCACTCACATATTATCTCACTGAATTATCTGATTTCTTGTTATATTCTACCACAGGATGTAAGCCCCATAAAGGCAGGGATTTTTGTCTGTTTTGTTCACTGTTGTAACTGGAGTTAAATACTGCTTGGCACAAAGTGGACACTCAATAACTATATGTTGAATGCCTGCTGAATGAAATCCTCATGTAAGTACTATTGAAACAAAGAATAGGGTACATCTACCAGTCGACTAGCATTCAGAAACTACCTGCTGGGCCTATGGGCGATACTGAAAAAGAAAACAAAAATTCTAACATTGAATTTTTAATATTTGAAGAAACAAAAGAAATGGGCCCATGTGGTAAGAAGATGACTTAAGATATCTTACCACATAAGACGACTTACCAAATGAGCCCATGTGGTAAGAAGAGTGTACATGAACACACACTCACACTCACACACCATTGTAAGGCTTGTCCTTGTCCTAAGAGTTTAAGATAATAGATTTTTTAAAAAATAATGAATACATGAATGAATGAAATCACTGTTTTATCTGTAATCATTTAACAGAGGATGGAGCATAATAGCCACTCACTCAACCCTCCCAGTTTTAAATGTTTATTAATATTGGAGTTTATTTTTTAAAGAAATTCAAAAACTTAGGGTTAAATGTTCCCCCAAAAGCTTTAACTCTTGCCTGGGTTTAGTATTTTTCAGAATTCAATAAATGTGGGGGAAATTTTTTTCCTTTAAAAAGAGGAAAACTCTGAAGAAAATAGCCATGTTACCAATGTCATTACACAGAAGCCACAGAGTCAAGTTAGTGGCAATGGCTCTGGACTGGGTGCCAATTGAACTGGGCTTCAATCCTGCCTTTTTGTTCTTTGTTTTTTTACTATTATTAAATGCAACTGTATGCAAATTGCTTCTTCTTCCTGAGTCTCCATTTTCTCATTTATAATTTGGGGAGTGGGGTAGAGAGTTTTTACTTAAATATAGTGTATTAGCCATCTATACATCCATATTTATATGTCTTCTTAAGATCCCTCTAAAATATTTTTAAAACCATAGGCTAAGCTCTTTAGCCATAAGAACCCATTGTGGGTGCAGGACATCAATACATTTCCAGGGTGGAAGACATTGGGTCATTGGGTAGATGGTGACTGATCAAACAAGGTGGAGAAAGCCACAGGAGATAGTAACAAAGAAAGAAATACAGCCATCCACCTTACTGAGCCTTGGAGAAACTTGGGTTCTGGAACACCAGTTATAATTAAGCATTGGAGCAAGTCACAGATTGATTCTGGACTGGCATGATTTTTTTCCATGTTCAGGGGACATTTGTCCACGTTTGGAAGCATCTTTGAGTATCATGACTGGGAGGTGCTCCTGACGCCTGGGGGTTAGAAGCCAGAGATGCTGCTAAACATCCTACCATGCACAGGAAAGCCCCCTCGGCAAAGAGTTACGCAGCTCAAAATGTCAAAAATACCAACGTTAAGAAACTCCACTCTACACCCAAGAGTTGATCTCCCACTCTGGAACCCTGTCCATATTTGAAGACTAACAGATATCCATCTACCTCATTGTTATGGGCTGAATTTTTCTCCTCAAAATTCATTTGTTGAAGACCTAATCCCCAGTACCTCAGAATGTGACTGTATTTAGAGATGGGGCCATTAAAGAAGTACTTAAGTTAAAATGAGACCTTTAGAGTCAGCCCTTATCTAATCTGACTGGCGTCCTTATAAGAAGAGGAGATTAGGACACACAGAGAGACATCAGGGATGCACATACACAGAGAAAAGTTTGCACAGAACACAGAGAGAGGCAGCCGTCTGCAAACCACAGAGGGAGGCCTCAGAAGAAATCGACTCTGCCAACACCTCGATATTCAGTTATTCACTGAAAATATTACTTATTCCAAGTGGCTCTGCCACATGGGTAATTGCAGCCTCATAGCAACCTTGTGAAGTCAGTGTGGTCCCCGTGGTTTCCACATGGTACCTCTGTCTTCCTTTTCCCTCCTGTGATGCTGGCTGCTCAGAGATGTACTTCATGGCTCTCCCTCAGGTGGGCCAGAACAACATTGCCTCCTCAGATCTCTTCCTTCTTTCTCCTTGTCTCCGAGCTATGTTTAGGAGACAGGCCAGTGACTTGATTATTAACACCACCAGATGGTACACATTGATGTATTTCCTCTCCCAATAACATGTTTGCATTTTGCAGGTGGTCTCTGTTGCCTAAATTTAAAGGCTTGGCAAATGGAGGAATGTGTGGGCCCTATGTGACATAGGTCTCTTAGAAGTCCCACAGTTAATTGCCCTGCTGTAGAAATATGGAACATTTTCCTTTAGTCACCTATGTACTTCTCAATATTATATTTCAATGTTATTTTAGTTTTATAGTCATGTATCATTGGTCATAGTATGATCCACTTTCTCAAAAATATACTGTTCAGTAAAATAAACTCAGAGTAATGATAGAAATCACCTCCTAACTCCATAGAAATATATATGTACAAAGTTTCCTTGATATGCAGACTTCTATTTTTAATTCATGTTGGTTTTAATATTCAAAGAGACATAAAGGAAACACCTTTAAAGACTCAAAGTCATACTTAAGAAAAATAAGAAATAAAAAGGTAGCAAAATAAGTATGAAGAAACGAGCAGTTACATATAAATCATCTAAAATCAATTTTTATATTAGACTCATATATTCTAAATAAGAAAAAAACTACAATGCTTTAAATAAACACATAGGTTTTCTCCTTTCCATGGGTAAAATATATAACTGAGCCTAAATTTCTTGAATGGATATGCAATAAACTATTTATAACATCTTCCCTGTCCTACTTAACTTATGACTAATCCTAAACAATTCGAGAGTCAGATGGCTGAGTATTTAAAGAAGCAAACATCTCAAATAAATAGAGGGTCATTTCTACCTGAAATCCAGAGTCCCACATCCCATATAACTATGGGGCCACTTGGCAATAGCTACAAATGGAAGCTGCAAAAGAAATTCTGTAGAATCCTGCAGCCTAGAGATTAGGAAATACGAGGGTCTCTTAACATCTGAATAGTGTAGTCAGCCGGTGGTGGCAAGGAGGACTCCCCAGGTACCTGTAATAGCTTCAAAAGCAATTTTCAAATTCATGAAATTTTTCCATGTGGACCCTCCTCTGGAAAATTGGAAAACAAAAACCTACACCCACTCACCACTGATTCTTTGTGATGCCCACATCACTAAAATCTCTAATATAAATCTTTTTCTAAAGATAAATCTTTAGATAAATCTTTTTCTAAAGCAAGGCTGGGTCTGTCCCCAAAGGCTATCATTTCACTAACATTTAAAAATATTTTCTCAACATTCTCAGGCAGTGTTTAAAATCGGCCTGATATATATAGAGCCTCCTTTGTGGAATAACAAAATTATTTTTATCATTTTCTGATTCTCAAAAATCTGACCTGTCACCAAAGAACTTCTAAAAATATCAGGATGATAATGATATCCTTCGTCATATCCTCCTGGCTTACGGCTGCATTTGTAGGGCTGGATTTTTATTTATTTTCTGAGGGTCCTCTCTGATCACAGCACTCATCATTTCATTGCTTCTAGAAGATGTGAGACAGAGCAGCTATCTTGAGAAGGTGGTAGATTTCGTTTCCACCTTTAAAGACAGTGTGTTTTTGTGCAACATTCAGTTCAATTCACTCTCTGCCTATCTTTTAAATCCCATATCTTTTGTTGGAAGTATATTGGAGTAGATCCTAGAAAACAAATGCTGACTGAGGAGAAGAATTTTGTTTTTTTCTCACAGCTGATTCAATTCAGCAGCAGCATTACTGAGTGCCTACCATGTGCCAGGAATATAAAAATGAATAGAATATTCTTTGCCCTCAAATAGCTCACAGCTTACAGGATAGACAGTCCGTTAAGAAATAACCAAGTACCCTGTGATAAGAGCTATAGAAGATTCCCAGGATTGGCCCCCCCCTTTTTAAAAATGGACTTTAAAAGGGCCTTATAGTCTTATTGCTGTTTGTACAAACTTACAATAATGGGAACACCAACAAGGGAGCTGCAAATACTGTCTAGAGAAATCGGAAATGTAATGGGAAACCAAAGGCATTTTTAAGACAGATCCCAACAATTTCTTGCTCAGAGACTGTGTCCCATTCTTGATATATCTAGGGTTGAAAAAAAAAAAAAAACTTTTTTTTTAGAGAACTGTAAGCAGCATCTGCTCCTTGGGTAGAATTTAGAATGTATCCTTAGGGATATATTGGTTTTGGTGAGTCTTTTTCAGTCATGTGTAGATAGAAGTACCTACTCACTGGCCTTGCAGGAGCCCTGGACAGAAGGAAGTTTCCAACAGCAGATGCTTCACCTGGAGAAGGTTCACTACTCTAGCAGTGACAAATTCTCTCTTCAGGTTGGGCACGCTGTATCATTATCTTGTCAACTGGTGTATTGTCTATCATGTCATCAATGGGTGTTTCCTTCTTTTGGCTGTAGATTTGGGGGGGATAAGATGAATAAAACTTCCATGCATGAAGAAGCTTGGACCCTTGTTCCAGTGGCAGGAGGCTGGGGCCAGAGGAGAGAGGGAACCCAAGAGCATTGTCTTTAAAGGGACATGATGATAGAATTCAGGAACAGTGATACATGGTATCTTGTTTTAGGTTTTCCTTTCCTTCATAGCAAAATTTGTTAAATAGCATTAACTCTTGTGTTGGTAAGCACTGGAGAATAAAGAACAAGTATTGTATTCATGCTTTCGAGTAAAATGGACTTTAAGAAGGCCGAAAAGTTCTAGCTTTAGTCAGGAGAGATCACAAAGAAGCTGGGAGCAGCAGAGCAGAGCATGAAGGCACACATGATAACCAGAATGGACTTAGGGAACATGTGCACCCTCTCTGAGCATTCTCAGGAATATTTAGGAAGGAGCTGGGATGACCCATTGGCCTCAATCAACTGGATATTAAAAGAAAGAGGTGCTGTTTCCTGACCCCTCCCAACTCTGACACATGCCTTCACATTGCAAAGGCTAAAAGAACTTTGGAATCTCCATTTTTCAAGAAACAACAACAGTTCTGGGTTTTGAAGAATGAGTAGATGTTCACTGGGCAGAAGAGAGAAAACAAATGAGTAAAGACTTTTAGTGAAAAACAAGCATGCGCTGGAATGGCTAAAGCAAAAATCTCAACCGGGGTGTCATGACTCATGGATCTGTTTCCTATTCTAACCCTTTCCAAGGTTCCACGTCCAAATTGCCTTGCTTTCCTCTCTTGCCAGGGTGTCCCGTATGCAGACATGCAGCTTTCTACTGTCCCTAGTTGGCTAAGCATGTTCCCAACCTTCCATTTTTTTTTTTCCAACTTCCAAAAATTTGGGTTTTTCTTTCATCATATCTCCCCTCTCTTATTCTTATAGGTTCATGTATTTTAAATTCTTTTACTGTGAGGTTTTGGACAGAAGTGGAGATAAATGCATGTGTTCAATCTGTGGTCTCCTTTCCCAGTTATATTTTATTTATCCATTCATTATCGTTCCACCTAATGAAGAATAGCATGACACCAGGATCTTGCTTAGAAGTAGCACTCAAACCCTTAAAAGGCTTGTAAAGTCACAGGCCCTCACTCAGGGTTGCAATGAGCTGCAAAGGTCAACCTGTCTAAGCTCCCATCAGAAGTTTAATTCTGGAAACTGCTTCGCTTGCTTGATATAAATTTAACCTACTGAGTGAAAATGTCAAAAAGCTGTATTATTATTTTGCTTATCATCATTCATCATATTTAGTAATTATCAAAATAGCTGCTACTTATGATGCACCTTCTATGAGCACCTCCCTGTGCTGAGGGGCATTTACGCCTCCCAACAATTCTATGAGGGAGGTGTTATTCCACTCTCCCGTCCCTCGTTTGCAGAGAAGGAAATGGGGTTTAGCTCAGGTTTACCTCACTTCCTAGATGCTTGTAGTTTGTCCATGGCAGGCAGAGACTAGTTTTAGACCACTGTCAAGTTCCAATGCTTATCCTCTTGGCTGTGATGGTTTCCAGGTTTAGGACTATGTGACTCTGAAAGAACTGCATTGTTCTGCAGAGTGGCTGGCTTGTGCTTTCTTCTTTTCTCCACTGACAGCTTTAGTAGCTGATGTTGTTGCCATTGACTACATTTGAATCCTCAGGGGCATGACCCAATGTAGTCAGCCTGACTTCTGTCTGCTACCCAGATGACTGTTTTTTTCAATTGATATAAACTTAGGAAACAAAAAATAATTTTAAATTTTATTTTGACCAAACAATGAAGGTAAATATGTTGTCAAAATGATGTACAGTGCACTTCTAGGTAGTCTATAAATGGCACTGCATTGATTATCCATTGCATCTATCATATCGAATCACCATTGTTATACATTGAGTACAGTTGAATTAAAATGTTGACCAAACAAAAAATTTCGGGTTTGGTGGGGTTTTTATTGGTAAAATAACCACATCCTTTTTCCTGTCAACAATTTCAGTGGTTGAGGGTCCACTGTTAAAATAGGCAGATAAAGAGAAACTACTCCTAACCCCAGATAAGACAGGGCTGAGTCACAGCTCTGTGCTTGCTGTGACTTTTGAAGTTAGGTTAATCCTAACTTCTCTGAGCCACTATTTCAAAATATGTAAGAAAGAACCCTAACACACAATAGTATTTTGCATGCAACTGAGGTGTGGTGCATAGTGTATAAGTGGTGGGCACAAGAGTTGGAGCTTAACAAAAGCATGTTTACCAGCTTTATCCAAGAGTCTACAGCAAGTGTTGAAGAAATGCTTTTGGAATACATTAGATAATGGGAGACAGGTATTGAGAATACATGTAAGCAAATAGAAGAGCTTGGATGCCTGAAATCTCATGTATTTCTAAAGCATCTCCAAGATTCCCAGGGTTGGCCCTTCTAGTTCTGACAGCTGTACGAGTCACAAGAGTGGACTTGGAAACTCAGAATTGCCAGCCCATTTAACTGTGTCTTGATCCACAATGTTGTGTGTGGCACACAGTGTTATGTGTGGCACACAGTGTTGCCTGTGACTTCCTGCACCTCCATCGCTGCAAGGTGCAAACCCTGCTCAGCAAAACTATGAGCATGCACAATTCAGAAGATATGAGAATCGTCTCCTGAAGTCACTATGGGGGTCTTCTGAGGATAAGCAACGCCATGGGAAAGGCAACTTATTAAGGTAAATATTACAGTCTCCTAAAGTCAGCTAGACATACATTTAAATCCAAGCAGAAACTCTCTGAAAGGTTTGTCTCCAACCTAGGTCTTCCAACATTAGAAGAACTTCAGGGAGAAAATAGGACATTTTGACTCTCTTGAGTATTTTGGAATCAAGGCAGAAACTTGGGGTAGCATTGGGGGTCCCATGAAGAATTGAATACCTGGGCTTAAATTTATAAATGCTCCTCAGTACCCCTAGGACCCAATATTCCAAGAATGGCTCGGAGCATGGCTAGCTTCCCCACAGTCATTTCAGATTGTTGCAGGCTCCTTAGAAGTCCTTGGTGTCCAAGTTTTAGTCCTACAATGGATGCTGGATATGGTTGAATGTCCTGGATTCATGGAGAGAGGAGGGCATGTGGCAAAATATATTTGACTTACATTATTTCTTTCCTTATTATCCCCTCAATTGTCCTTATCCTAGACATGTATATCTCAGTAAATAAGTCATTCTGACTCTCAAAGACTCCCACAGAAAGTGGGTTCCTAGTATGGCACCATGAACAGGGTCCTTAGTGGGCTGAGAGTTGAGATGGAGCTCCAGGCCCAGATGGAGTCTGTCACTGATGGAATACATTAGTCAAGTTACTTCATCCCTCTGGGCCTCCATTTTTTTGTTGTTTAATTTTTTTAAAACTTCTCCAGTGAGACCAGGGGCCTTGCTTATCTCCATGTGGGATTGGATCATGTCTCCGGGCCCTTCTAATTCCAATTATCTCTGATGTTTCTATAAATCTAACAGGAGTGAGCTGAGTTAATAGAATCATATGACTAATAGGGAACACTTCATAGTTAATACTACAATCAAATACTTCAGTTTTCTCTGCTGAATATTTGATGAAACCATGAGTTATGCTTGGATTTCTGGATCCTGTCTGTGTTGTACATACCAGAAAAATTTTGAGAGCTGTGGCCTTTAAGCTGTTGAAAAGACGTATTTCTCATAATCTAAATAGCTTTGACACTATGCACCACAGCCTGACAATTAAATTTCTCTTTCTCTCTCTCCCTAATTTCAATCAGTTGATATGCCACACTGAAACTTGAACCATTCTGATGTGAAGATATCTCTTTTCTCCTATCAGAACCCAAAAAGCTGTCAGTGCCAGTTTCCTCATTAGTAACCAATCTGCTTGCCCAGACGGCACCTCACAGTTTGTATCCAGTGAAAATCCTGCTCCCTGAGAACAGAGGAGCAAACACAGCTGAGAAATGGAGTCGAGGTTTGTAGATGACCCCGGGGGCTGAAATTAAATGTGCTGCTCACCTCATCAAGACGGGGGAAGTGAGCGCTGTTGAGGCTTAAGAGAAGTGCTCTGATCAGTGATATGTGCACAGTGCCTAAAGAATGATATCCATGGCTGATTCAAGGAATCAGTCAGCCCAAGCCTTAGCTTATGACTGCTTTTTCCCTGAATTAGATGCTCCTTTGAATCAGTACAAGCAATGCAGTCTTCTCCAGCATAGCTGCTGCCACCTTAAAGTAACTCATGAACCCCATTCCTTTTCTACCATTACATGGGAAACACGCAGTATACACTAGCATCCTAATCTTCCACGCTAGCTTATTGCAGGGCACAAGAGGCTCTCTAGAAACTTACTCTGTATTCCTCCAATAAACTGTAAGGCCCTTGAGCAAATGAACCTCAAGGAAATCTGCTGAAAGTGGTTTGTCACAAAAGACAAAGGATCCCCAAGACAGATGGCCATTAGTCCCAATAGAGTAAGTAAAACAAAGAGGGCACCAAAGGAAAAAAAGGGTTTGCACAGAATTCCATGTGAATATCTTAGTAATGGTCATGGAAGTGAGCAATGGAAGGTGGAACAAAAATTCTGGAATTCTGGAAGATCCCAGGCAGAGAGAGCTCTGGATCTGAAGGGAAGGGAGGTGACTGGAAATCTGCAGAGCCCACTTTTTTGCAGGCATCATAATGATCTCTTCATCCCCCTCTGCTCCAGCTGATGTAGCCAGTGGTTCTTCTGCTCTGCAGTCTGAGGTCCCTTCAAAGCGATGAGTGAGCAATATTCTGCCTTCAAAGGCTCCTTTATTCCTTTTTTCTCTCTTTAAACAGGAATCAGAGTTGAATGACCTTTTTGGAGATTTAGATGATAGTACCCCACTTTACTGTAAAAGAAAAAAAAAGAAAGCAAGAAAATAATTTGTTGCATTAAAACATATAACAAGGGAGACCAAGTGAATGGGTCATTTGAGGGCATGACTCAACAAGAAGAATGCTTCCTGTGTGTCCTCTGAATACCTGAATACTGTCTTTTGTCAAGCCTGGTGGTTATCCGAATGCAAATACTTTATTTTTAATTTTTTACTGAAGAAGCATAGGGAAAAGTGCTCACATAAGTGTATAGCCTCACACAATGAGCACATTCAGGCAACTGGCATCCAGAAACAGAAAGACACAGGAAGACCCTTCCCCTAACCTCCTCCAGGCACTCTGCCCCTGAAGAATAACTATTATCTGGCCTTATAAAAGCATATATTAATTTTGCTCTGTTTGTGTCTGATATAGCTGAAATGGCAAGTGTGATCTCTTGTGTCTGTATTATTTTCCTCATCATTGTTTGTGGGATTCATCCATATTGTTTCGTGTAGCTTATATCAGTCTCCTCACTGCACGTATCGCAGTGAATATGCCATGATGTATTCATTCTGCAGCTGAAGGGCATCTCGTTAGCTTCCAGCTGGGAGCTATTTCGAATAGTGCTGCCATGAATGTCTTGATACATGTTTTTGACACACATAAGTAGTAAGTCATATTTTTTAGTAATACCTGATGTATTAGTTCATTCTCATGCTGCTAATAAAGACATACCTGAGACTGGGTAATTTACAAAGGAAAGAAGTTTAATTGACTCATATTTCAGCATGGCTTTGGAGGCCTCAGGAAACTTAATCATGGCAGAAGGGTAAGCAAACACGTCCTACTTCACATAGTGGCAGCAAAGAAAGGTGCTGAGCAAAAGCGGACAAGCCCCTTATGAAACCGTCAGATCTTGTGAGAACTCACTATCACGGGAACAGCATGAGAGTAACCGCCCCTATGATTAAACTACCTCCCACCAGGTCCCTCCCGTGACACATGGGGATTATGGGAACTACAATTCAAGATGAGATTTGGGTAGGGACACAGCGAAACCATATCGCCTGGCCTGAAAGAGGATGCTTACATATTTTTCTGTTTTCTAGGTCCCATTTTTGGAAGCTCAGTAGGAAAGTGTGTGTTTAATGTATTTCAGAATCTATCAGGAAAAAAATAGGAAAATAAAATGATTTGATACTAACATAATCTCTCCACAATATTTTGGCAGTTTGTTCTCCAAAATCAAGCAGCAACGACTAAGCTTACATGGCAGCTCTGATTTTCATAGCTGTGGAACCGCCACATTCTCACCTGACAGCCTCTTCCCACCTCCCAGCAATGACTTGTAATCACCTCAGTCATGCTGTCTATTTTCAGCTCATATAAAATTCTTTTTTTCAAAAACACTTTTTTCCCAGTCTAACATTGTCCTCTTAAAAATTCTCTGGTGACTTGAAAATTAAAATATAAAAATACACTAGTTCAGCCTAGTATCCTGTTTTCAAAATGACACTGAAAAATGTTTTATGGGAATGAGGGAGAGGAAAACCTTTCTATTTCCTCAGAGGAGATCCTGTATTCTGTATTTTCATATGGAAATCAAAATGAGCTGATTTTTGAAAAAAACCTGTTCCTAGGCTGTGTGGCAGGAAGAATTGGAGGTAAAGAGTGGAGTAAAACATAGCCCCCAAATTCTTTACCACTCCTTCCACCAAGAGATAGAATCTGGGTGACACATGACAGCTTGACCAATTGAGAAGCACAGACAAAGCACTGTGTGGCTTCAAGCCTCGCTCTGAGAGGGCCATGCAGCTCCCTCTCAGAATCCAGCTGCCATGCTGTGGGATGCCCGAGTCATGTGGGGAGGCCACATGGAGAGGCCACGTGTAGGCTTTAGTCAACATTCTCAGCTGAGACTGGCCTTTTAGTTATCCCAGCTATTATGAGTTGAATTGTGTCCCCAGAACTGATATGGTGAAGCCTAACCTCCAGTCCCTCAGAATGCACCCAATTTGGAAATAAAGTCATTGCAGATATAATCTACTTAAGATGAGGTCACACTGCAGTAGAGTGGGTCCTTGAGTTGTCCTTACAGAAGAGGCACATGAGTATAAGACACAGACACAGAAAGACAGCCATGTGAAGATGGAGGCAGAGACAGAATGATGCTGCCTCAAGCCAAGGGACACCTGTGGCTACCAGAAGCTGGAAAAGGCAAGGAAGGATCCTCCCCTAGAGGCTTTGGAGGGGCATGGAATGGCCATTGTGTTGATTTTGGACTGTGAGAGAACACATTTCTGTTGCTTCAAGCCATTCCGTTTATAGCATGTTGTTACAGCAGCCTTGGAAAATGAATACCCCAGTCCTGATGCCAAATGCGAGAGTAATGCCAGCCCCAGCTGACCAAGTTTTCCCAGATGAAGACCCAGCACTGGCGAACAAACAAGCCATCCCCACTTGGCCCTGCCTCAATTCCTGTCCCAGAGAATGAGTGAGCATGATACAGTGGTAGTCATTTTATGCTTCTAAGTTTGAGGTGGTTTAACCTGCCCTGATAGTAAGTGGAGAAGAAGCCATCACAGTTTCAGACCCAGGTGCCTTGGTCTACACTACACAAGGAGCAGACCAGTCATCTCTGCTCTGAAAGTGTGCTGTGCCTTAGTGTCCTCGGGCAAAGAAGAATAACTCAGTTGATCATCCTGCAGGAAGCATGAACACTGAATAAAATATAATGTGTAATTGAGGATTTACTGGCAATGCTCTAAGGCAAGCTTGTCCAAACCACAGCCCACGGTCCCCATGTGGCCCCAAACAGCTTTGAATGTGGTACAACACAAATTGGTAAACTTTCCTAAAGCATTACAAGTTTTTTTTTTTTAGCTCATCAGCTATCATTAGTGTTTGTGTATTTTATGCGTGGCTCACGACAATTTTTCTACTTCCAATGTGGCCCAGGAAAGCCAAAAGATTGGACACCCTTGCTCTAAGGATTTCACATGGATTATCTCATTTTGTCTTCCCAACAACCCAACAAAGTAAGACCTATTATAAAGGCCATTCTTATAAGTGAAGACACTGAGGCACTAAGAGGTTTGAAAAACCTGCCCAGAGTCACAGAGTTAGCACATAGTTAGTGCATGCAGGGAGATGGCACCAAGAATCAAGAAGCTTACCACAGTGATTGGAAAGAATGGATGCGATGGGGCTAGTTTCCAGTAGAGGAGAGTGGCCTGAGTGTTCATCCACTTAACAGACATTTCTTGAGCTCTGCTGTGTCACCGAACCATGCTCTTATAGAAGGCACAATCTAATGGAGAATTCAGATATGTAAACTCACAGATATCTTTTCTTTTTAGTTCAGGCCAAGGCCAAATTATTTCAAAAGAAACTGTTATAATTAGGAAAATGAGAGAAAATAATGCAAATAAGAAAAAGAGAGCAGTGGGGTTCCCTTGCTGATAGAAGCAAAGAGAAAGTTGAGATCAAAGACAGTTATAGTCCTTAACTATAAACAGAACATTTGGAGCAAATCAAGCAGTGGAATGAGAAATTCAGCCGTGGCCCGGTTCTGTGAATCTCAGCAGTGCACCATAGACTCTCAGGACCCAAGGTGTCTGATTAGATCAGACCCAGCGCAGCTGGGACAAAAACACTCACGACCACATTTAGATGAGCTCACTTTTGGATTGTGTATTTCCCTCAGTCAAAAGATACATTTTGGGGTCTCAAAGGAGAGGAAAAGGAGGAAACAGAAGAGATAATACCTCCAGTAGGAAAGGGCATTCTCTGGCCCTCCCAATGCTCAGGACAGCCTGGGCACCACATTCCCCAGAATGGTTACCTGTACTGATGGTAAAACACATTCCAGACTCAGGGCATGCCTGTCATGGTGGCCCTGGCTGTCATCCAGCCAATCTAAGGTGTTGCCCTCTTTTGCAAAATTGGTAGAAATAGGTCAATGACCTCTGCTCACTCCCCTGGACTTTTGTCCCACCAGCCCATCATGACTGCGTTCACCATTTCTTCAAGCGGAATGTTCCTTCAACAACTTAAAATAGTTTCAAAAAATGTTTCACAAAAAAGAGAAAAGGTCAAGGTTACAGGAAGCTGGCTCACCATTTTTTTTTTCTTTTTGACCACTGTCAGAAAATTATTTTGTGAGGTAAGATAAGGACTTTGATTTTTATTTCTGAAATATTTTATTACTGGTTTAAAAAGAGACAGTGAAAAGCACTTCAGGACGTTCAGTTAGGGAAGAAGTGACCTGCCTCAGTCCGTGGTTTCCTCACACCCTCCATCACCTCCGGTGCCTGATACTCATCTGTAGGAACTAAGGAGACTGGAGCCCCTAAAAGCCAAACAACTTTCTGGGTTTTGTTCACCAGGCAGCAATCCATTGTCTACTGATAGCAAAATAGGGGAAACATATTTCCAGTAGAACATACAGTATCTTCCTTTGAGGATCTTTTTTTTTTAACCTCTGTTATCTTTATTGCAGACAATGGACATAGAGTCAGGGTCACAACCATAGAGCACAGGTGGAAAGAGTTCCAAATTCTCCTAGTTACCACTGTGATGTACTCTAAAAGCTCTTAATGATATTTTCCGTTTCAACATAAGAGTCAATCATATAAAATGGAGATGGAAGTCAATAGATGATCCAGTGGCAGGAAGGCTGCCTCTACTCTCTTGTCACATGGAGATGAAGGACATTTCCTTCATGTGGTCGCCTTTGGTGCCAGAAGCAGCGTACTTAGTGATTGGGGCAGACTCTGGGCCGGATCTTGTGGTTTTAAATCCAGGCTCTGCAGTTTACTAGCTGTGTGATTCTGAATGACTGCTTAATCTCTCGTGGCCCCTTTTCTTCATCTGTAAAGTGGGGGTTATAATAGCATCCACTTCTTACGGTAGTTGTAATCAATAAATGACTTAATACAGGAAAGGCCCTTTAATAACTATGCCTGTCTTTGCTATTATTTTTATTCATGTAAGAAAAGAAGCCAAAGAGTAGAATAGACGAGCTTATATTGAGACCCTAAAAGACAGAAAGCTATTCCCTGTTTCTCAATCCTCCTTCTAAAACCACTTTAACCATCAGCTCCCATGATGGTATTCTCATCTATGCAGATAGCAAATTCAGCAAGAAGAAAGTGCTGTTAATACTTCTTCTCAAGTCACCAGAAACTCATAGGAAGGCACAGAAAACCAAGTTACAAACTATTCCTTTCATTCCTGTATACATTCTCTATATCTGTTAACAAGCTGCCCTGTGGTGCATGATCTGTAGGGCCAATTAATCAAGGATTATTTGGAAAACATTTGGGAAGAAAAAAATAAGCAATGGATAAGGTTGAGTGAATCTGCCTACCTTTCAAATCGCATAATGCCAAAAAGTAGAGTGAGAGGAAAGCAAACCACAAGGGTTCCCTTCTTTCCACTTTTGTACCAGGCCTGCCCTTATTTCATAATCACTTTTCTTGCCGGCATGGTGGCTCATGCATGCAATCCCAGCACTTTGGGAGACTGAGGCATGAAGATTGTTTGAGCCCAGCAGTTTGAGACCAGCCTGGGCAACATAGTGCAACCCCATCTTTACAAAAAAAATTTAAAATTAACTTGGTATGGTGGCATGCACCTGTAGTCCCAGCTACTTGGGAGGCTGAGGTGGGAGGATCACCTGAGCCCAGGAGGTCAAGACTGCAGTAAGCCATGACCACAACACTGCATGCCAGCCTAGGTGACAGAGCAAGATCCTGTCTCAAAAAAATAAAGTGTCATTTCATGGTATGTGTCTTACATCCCCTCCGTATCCCCAGAAGTCTATATCCTTCCTCCTAGCACAATGTCTTACACATAGCTCTTTTATTTTTAAGAAAAGAATGACTACATGGATAGACAATAGAAACATATATAATACATGATAGGTAGATATATAGATGATTGAGAGAGAGAGAGAGAAAGAGATGAAAGTTTCTTCCTAAACTTAATCAATTTTAAAGATAAGTATCTAGTTTTTCACAAATACCCATGATCTCAGCTATGGGAGTTTCTGGATTTTGCCCAAATCAATTTTCTGTACAGGTATAGGTTTCTTGTGCATATCATTACACCACAAATTTTCATTCAATTTCCACTAAAATTTTATCTCTCATTTGATGA